ACAACTTACCAACACATCAATTAGTCTCCTGTATATATCAGAGGATTTCAGCTTTAAAAAATTACAAGCTGCAGATATTATTTAAGAAAGAGTCCCTAGCAAGACCAAAAATAAGGAGGAAGACAAAACTGAATCAGGGGAAATTTTACCCTCTGATATCACAGCTGCAAGTGAACAGAAAATGCAGCCTAAATATTAGTCAGATAAGCATAAAACCTGCACTACAGGCTTATCTTTCTTAGTTTCTGTTACCCAATACATTGTTTCCAGCTTTCAGTAAAAAATGACAAGACACACTAAAGGGCAGAAACAATCTGAAGTGAAAAAGTAAGCATCAATCAGATCCAGACTCAGATAATAGCAGATATTTTAGAATTATCAGACTAGGAACTTATAATAATTATGACAAATATGCTAAGTTCTAATAGAAAAGTGGACATAATGCAAGAAAAGATGGGTAATATAAGGCAAAATGGAAAATCTAAGAAGAAATCAAACTAACACTAAAAGTCTAAAATATTTTAATGGAGATGAAGCATGACATTGATAGACTCATTAATAGGCTGAACTCAGAGGAAAAAAAATAATTAGCTTAAAGATATGTAAATAGAAACTTTCCAAACTAACAGTAAAGAGAAAAAAGTATTAAAAAAAGGAATACATTATTAAAAAACTGAGCAAAAATTACAAAAGTATAAATATACATAATTGGAGAAAAAAGAAGGAAGAAGAAGGAAAGGAAGAGGAAGAAGAGAAAGAGGAAGAAGAAGAAAGAAGAAGGAAGAAGAAAGAAAGGAAAGAAGGAAGAGAAGGAGGAGAAACAGAATAAATACTGACATAAAAATAGATGAGAACCTTCTAAAGTTAATGATAGACAACAAACCACAGATCCAGAAAATTTGTAAGACACAAAGCAGGATAAACACCAGATAAATGTCTACATCTAGACATATGATATTTAAACTGCAAAAAAATCAGACGAAAATGAAATCTTGAAAGAAGCTGGGGAAAAGTGGTAGGATAACTTACATAAATAGGAACATGAATAACAACAATTACATAGGATTTCTTTATAGAAATCATGCAAGTAATAAGAGAATGGAGTAAGATATTTAAAGTGTTCAAAGAAAAAGAGCAGAAACCTAGGATTCCGTATCAAGTGCAAGTATCCTTTCAAAGTGAAAGAGAACTAAAGACTTCCTCAGACAAACAAAAATGGAAGGAATATTTGTTCCTAGTAAGCTTGCCCACACAGCGATAGTTAAAAAATTTTCAGAGAAAAGGAAAATGTTGTAAGTCAGAAACTTGGAAGCACATAAAGAAAGGAAGAGCATTAGAAATGAAAAAAAAAAAAAAAAAGAAAAAAAAAATATTTTATCTGTCTTATTCTAACTGATCTAAGTAATAATTTGTTCAAAATAATAGTTGCAACAATGTATGTGTTTTTTATGTTTTATGGAGAAGTGAATGACAATAATGTTATGAAGAATAAGAAAAGGGGAATGGGAATACTGTGTCATAAGGTAACTGCATTACCCATAAAGTAGTACAGTGTTATTTGAAAGTGAACTTGAACAAATTATAAATGTATAGTTCAAATGTAAAGGAAACCACTGAAAAAGTTAAAAAATAAAATAAAACAAGTATAATTGATATGCTAAGACAGGAGAGAATATTGAATAATATAAATTGCTCAAAACTAGAGAATGCAGAAGAATGGAAAAACAAAAGACATAAATGAAAGAAAAAATAAGTTCACAACTAAAAGACAGTAACAGATAAGGCACATACTAACTCAACTATATCAATAATCACTTCAGATGTCAATGATCTTAAAGACAAACACTGTCAGAGTAAATAAAAATACAATACACAACTGTATGTTGTTTACAAGAAACTCATTTTAAGTATAAGGGCAGATAGAGTCAAAGGGATGGAGAAAGATATACCTTGCTAACAATAATCAAAAGAAAGCTGAAGGATTATTAATTTCAGACAAATCAGACTTCAGAACAAGAAAATTATCAATGATAAAGAGGGGCATTATATAGTAATAATGAGGTAAAATTACATAGTAATCCTTAATGTGTATGTGCCTAACAACACAACGTCAAAATATGTGAGGCAAAAACTGATAAAAGTGCACGAAGAAATAGACAAATCTGCTATTATAGCTGGAAATGTCAATTCCTTCTAACAGTAATTGACAGATCTAGCAGGCAGAAAATCTGTAAGAATATATTTGAACTGAACAGCACCATCAGTCAGTTGAATTTAATTGACGTTAATAGTTACTTTAATTACCAACAGCAGAATACGCATTTTTCTCAAGACACATGGAACATTCACGAAGACAGATCACATTCAATGTCACTAAAATATACCTTAACAAATTTAAAAGGATAGAAATCATACAAAGTGTGTTCTCAGACCACAGTGGAGTTAAACTAGAAACCAATAACAAGAAAGATAACTGGAAAATCCTCAAATATTTGGAAATTAAGAATATACTTATAACTAACACATGGGTCAATGAAGAGGTTTCAAAAAAAATTTAGACTATTCTGAACAAAGTGAAAATGAAAATATGATTTATTAAAATTTATGGGATATAGTAAAAGTGATGCTTTGAGAAATTTTATAGCATTAATAGAGAAGAAGTAGATCTATACTCAATATTCTAAGATTTCTCCTTAGGAAACTGGAAGAAGAAGAGCAAATTAAACCCAAAGTAAGCAGTAGAAAAGACATAAAAACTAATGCAGAAATCTATGAAATTGAAAACAGAATACAATAGAGAAAATTAATGAAACCAAAATATAATTCTTTGAAAATATTAGTAAAATTGATAAACTTTTGCCAGACTAACCAAAAAGAACACAAATTACTAACATCATAAATAAAAGACCATAACTGCCAATCCCATGAACATTAAAAGAAAAATAAAAGAATATAATCAACAGCTCTATGCTCATCAACTTGAAAACTTAGGTAAAACTGACCAAATCTAAAAAGGATTCAATCTACTAAAATTCACATGAGACATAGATAATCTAGATAGGATTATGATATATTTAAAAAATTAATTAATAATTACCAGTCTTTCAAAATAGAAAATACTAGACCCAGATGGTTTCACTGATTAATTCTACCAAATATTTAAAACAGACATTTTACTAATTCTTTACAATATCTTGCAGAAAATAGAAGCAGAGGTAATACTTCTTGACTCATTCTGTGAGGCTAGCATTATCCTAATACCAAAACCAGAAAAATATATTAAAAGAAAGGAAAATGATAGACAAATATCTCTCATGAACATCGATGTAAAAATTCTCAACAAAATGTTAGCAAATTGATCCAAACGTGTAAAAATAAGTATACACAATCTGAGACTTATCCCAAGAATGTAAGGCTGTTTCAACATCTAAAAATTATGTAATGAAAATATCATATCAAAAGGCTAAAGGAGAAAAATCATATGATCATATGAACAATGAATAATGAGAATTTGACAAAATCCAGCACCAATTTATGATAAAAGTTCTCAGTAGTAGGTGTAGAGAGGGATGTCTTCCACTTAATAAGGAACATCTCTAAAATACCTACACCTAACATTATAGTTACTGGCAAGAAACCAGATTTTTTTTCAGTTAACATTAGGAAAAAGGCAAAAATGTACCTTCTCACTTCTGTTCAACATCATAATGGAAGACATAGCTAATACAGTAAGACAAGAAAAGGAAATAAATGTTATACCATTTGAGAAGAAAGAAATAAATTGTTCCGTGTCTTCCTTCACAGATGACCTGACTGTCTAAGTAGAAAATCCCAAAGAATCAATAATAGCAATAAAAAACAACCAAAAAAACTCTTGGAAGTAATAAACAATTATAGTAAGTTTACAGGATGTAAGTTTAATACAGAAAATTCAATTGATTTCCTTTATGCCAACAATGAACAATTTGAATGCAAAGTGAAAAACAGCCTGCCATTTAAATTAGCAACAACAAATAAAATACTTAGGCATAAATCCAAGAAAATATGTATAAAATCTGGATCAGGAAAATTATAAAACTCAGCAAAAAAGATGATCTAAATAAATAGGAGAAATTCTATGTTAATTTATAAGAAGACTGAATATTGTTTAAGATATCAGTTATTTCCAAACTGATCCTTTGGATCCAGCACAATCCCAATAAAAATTCTAGCAAGTTACTTTGTAGATTTCACCAAACTGATTCTAAATTTTATATTGAAAGGGAAAAGTTCCAGAATAGCCAACACAACATTGAGGGAGAAGAACAGAAGAGGACTGACATTACCTGATTTCTAGACTTACTGTAAAGCTATAGTTTTCAAGACAGTATATTATTGGTGAAAAGCAGGATTCAATGAAACAGAATAGGGGACTCAGAAATAAACCCACATAAATATATAGTCAATAAACCTTTAATATGGAAGCAAAGGCAATACAATAGAGAAAAGATAGTCTTTTCAACAAATGGTATTAGAACTTGATATCTACATGAAAATGATAATGATAATCTGGGCACTGACACCTTTCATTAACATTAACTCGCTATGGATCATAGACCTAAATTTAACATATACAACTGCAAAACTTCTAGGAGATAATATATAAGAGAACTAATGTGACCTTAAATTTGGCAATAAATTTTCAGATATATAGCCAAAAGATTTAAGTGATTAACCTTATGTAGTCATCGAACATATGGCAAAACAAGGACTGGAGTCCCGAACAATCTGGTTTCAATGATAATCCTCTTTTCATTAAACCATATCACCTACAGGAGATGACTGCAAAGGATATTTAAATAATAGATGAGACTTTGATTACAAGACTTTTAAGACTGAAATTACAAATTTCTCAAAGAGAAAGGGGAAAACAAAATTTATAGTGAATATTACATGAATTAAAATGAGGATGTCAGTTGCATTTAATGATCTGTTAATTTTAGTGAAACCTCTATACTTACTAGGAGTCCTGGTTCTGGAATAGGAGAAGGCCTTGCAAACCTTTTATTCAATCTCCTCTTCTCTTTCTTTAGGTTTTGCATATTCTGAATACGTTTATTTGCAAGCTTTAAAAAAATTAAAATGAAAGAAAAATCATACTTTTTTGTAACATATAAAGATAACATGCTGATTATATTTTTGGTCTGTGTCAATAAAAAAGATAAACACCACCACTGCAAATGGTTTACGTAACTACATAGAAATAGGGGGGAAAATCCCTTTTGTTCAAATGTGTGGTTCATAGGTGAAGAAAACCACATTGGAGCATCAGTAGAGTTTTCAAATAGACTATTCTTGATTCTCATCTTACCACTGTGTACATTTAAATAGATCCAGACACATGGATTAGTGTGTTTACTTTTCCTTTAAAAATAATGTTATTAAAGACACCTAGCGAATTTTCTCTACAGAAGCAAGAAAACAATTATTCACTCCTTTGTAATGTTGCATGACGCACATAAATTTTTATGCCACCATTGTATGGTATCTACAAGTAGCAGAGACCTAGGAGATCAAACTAGAATTCTTTGAAGCTAATGAAATACAGTAATAGAATAAAAAGGATATGAATAACAATAACTTTTTATCCACTTCCAATGAAGTATAAATTGGTACAATTGCTTTGAAAACAAACTTTTTAAAAAATCCACTGCTAATGGAGTATAAAGTTGAACAATTGCTTTGAAAACAATGTGGCACTACTTTTTAACAATAGAAAATTTGCTTTCCCTATGATTTAACCATTGCACTCCTGCCTAAATAATCAAGGCATTCTTGTGCATGGGGAAAGAAGCCGTGTACTAGAATGTTTGCAGTAGTACTATTCATTTTAGGAAAATGTAAAAATAACACAATGTCCATAAACAAGAGAAAGGATTAATGAACTGTGGTATGTTCCATGACAAAATATTGAACAGCAGTGAAAATAAAGAGACTATATACAGCAATATAGATAGATCTTAGGAAATAATATTGAGAAGAAAGAGTAAATCATACACTAAATTTTGTGTGATCTTATGTTTATAAAGTTCAAACCCAAGCAAAAGCAGATAATGCACTCATTGAGTCACCTACGTAACAAACTATTAAAGAAAAGGAAGAGATTGTTGTAACTAAAATTCCAGATGGTGGTTACCTCTCGGAGAGATCTTAGGAGGTAGAATAGAAAAGCATTCCCTAGCTGGATTCAGAAATACCGAATATCTTAATCCTTAAATGGGAGACATATTATAGTTTATAAATTATATCTGCCACATATGTTTTTGTATATGTATCAAATGTTACATTAAAAAATAACATAAGTCATTTACTTTACTCTAGTTAAGACCTATTCCAATAGTAGTCATGAGATCCCAGAGTCCCAAGAAATATACCGAAGTGTCTACTTAATACAAGTTCTATTATGTTAGGGACAACTACATAAAGGAACAAGTTACATGCACAATGTTTAAACAACCAGAACCTAGTTCTTTATTTGAACATTACCTGCCGCTCAGTGACTTCTGAAGGATGATGTTGTCTTGGTCCTTCCTATATAATATGCAAAATTAAAACACATTGACACACAAAAAAGTCATTAAAAAATAGTAAATTAGTTATTAGTAAGCCTATGCTACTTTTACATTTATGTATTATATGAATCATTTCGACTATAAGAGGCAGGTTAAAAAAAAACAAAAAGAAAAAAGAAAAAAAGGTTCAGAATTAAAACATCTAAGATAAAAATTGTGGTGGAAGATGGAGACAGTATTATGATAAAAAGAACCAACTGTGAGCCACCTTACAGATAAAAGGCAGAGTATGAGAAATAAGAAAACAATTATTCAGGAGGGAAAGAATATACAAGAAATAGAAAAATGCATGTTTCTGCTTGTATAGGACTTCAGCGGTGCCATTGAACAATCTAGTCTTCAATCTGGTTTCAAAGCCTAGGAATAATTGGTGATGTATTGAGATCATGTGGTTTTCTGAAGCACAGGGAACTTGACTGTTAGATTCTCACCACTTCCTCTATTTCTTGATTGTACCTTAAATACTTCTTCCTTCACTCATTTTCATCTAATCTTTTAACCAGAAGACCCAAGAGAAATCTGTTCCACATCTGGCAATTGAGAACTTTATCCTGCTCCCTACTTCTGTAATTTCCACTCCACCTCCCAGGGCAGGTCAATGGGGCAGTCAACATACAGTTGATGTACCTGACCTCTAAGCACACAATAGATGGAGCTTTGTCTTGTTTCAGGGGGGTCCAGCAGTCAGGATGTAGTCTGTCTACATCACCTGGAATTTCCCAACCCCAACCACCAAACCACATTTGTAAGAGCTAGAAGTACCATGGCTAAGGCCACAGTGGCCTGGAGCTCAAGGCACAGGACAGAGTAGCAGAGGTGAGGTTATAGACCCCAGCAGACTCACAGGGCTGACTTGGGAAGGCTCGATGTCCCAGCAGTACAGGCACATGCCGTGGAGCCTTAGGGCGCCCCCTGACGCCTACTGCCTGTCCTGGACCAAGTGATTATGGGGTCCAACACTCACAGCCTTCAAACCCTGCCCCCACCCAGTTCCATCACAATTCTCTTTATTCTCCTCCCTGCTATGGGCCCCGCCCTTTGCCCAGTTGTATTCCAGTCCAGTGCAGGGAAGGCAAGGCCTCAAGTTGTCTGCAGTGTCTTTGAATTATGGAAGTCAGTTTACCATAATTCCCTATATTCTATCCATCTTCCTCAGAAAATTGAAGAATACCAATTTCCCACCTTTTCTACCCTTCATTTCTCTAGTCTCTCTCTTTATAAAGCCCCTTTTATTTGTTAACATACCTAACTTAGTCTCCATGTTCTGTTACTTCAGACTGTCTATCTATTGTTAGGGTTCTCAATTCCACTACCTCATTCTTGTTCCTTCACAGCTTCTAGCTGGGTTGACCCAACTGTCTGCCTTCTTCCCATCCATCTATACCAGGTGAAGCGAGGAGAAGCTTGAAGATGGTTGGAATACATATTTGTGACCCTTAATTTATTTATTTATTGTTTATTTATTCTTTTTTTTTTTTTTTTTCCGAGTCTCTCTCTGTCGCCCAGGCTGGAGTGCAGTGCCAGGATCTTAGCTCACTGCTACCTCCGCCTCCAGGGTTCAAGCAATTCTCCCATTTCAGCCTCCCAAGTAGCTGGGACTACAGGCGCACGCCACAACGCCTGGCTAATTTTTTTTTTTTGTCTTTTTAGTAGAGACGGAGTTTTACCATATTGATCAGGCTGTTCTCAAACTCCTGACCTCAGGTGATCTGCCCGTCTCAGCCTCCCAAAGTGCTGAAATTACAGGCGTGAGCTACCACGCCCAGCCGTGACCCCCAATTTAAACTGGGTCCTTGATGCTGCTTAACACTTTTATGTTGCACCAGGTCTTTTTGTGCTCTGCGTTATTCCCTTCAAATAGTCTTCTATTAAAATCTCTGAATCTACCATCACTCAGGCACTTCCAGCGGAAGTGGGACAATCCGTGCTTCACACTCTGATGCTGGTGAACATATATAGAGCTTACTATGCACACCACTGTTATATGAATTTATGTGTGTTAACTGATCAATTCTTTAGACCACTGAAGGAGGGTAAGTGCATGATTATAATCACTGGGAAACAAGGCACTAGCATGTTAAATTGCTTTCTCAAGGTTATGCTCTTAAGAGGGTGAACTGGAATGTAAATCCAGGGTTGTCCCTTAGACCGTGTGCTCCTAATTGTGTGCTATGCTACCATTACTTTTGAAGCCCTCACTGGGGTTACATCAATACTACCTAAAAGCCTATAATCTTGTCAATATCCACATTATCCTTTTCCATGTAACCCTGTCGAAATGGGGGAAAAAAAAATGGCATCCCTTCTCTTGTCTCAAATAAATCCGCCCATTTGCATTTCCATGCCGTTTCCCTCCTAGGAGCCGCCTCGGATCTAGCTCTGCAGATTGTTCCTCTCCTTGTTAACTTCTCTATATTGCCTCTTTCCTTTAAACATTTCATTACCATATGTTCAAATCTCCCCTTCTCCAAACTAATAAAGGAAACTCCTTAGAACAACAACCAATTGTATCTATTGCCCATCCCCTCTATATAAAGTAAATATTCATGAGAGTGGTCTGTACCTCTACCTCTTCTTTATGTTCAGTGTAATGTTTGGCTCACTATTTCAACTCCCACTGTTCCTCTGGTTTCAACTCCTTGTTTCAACTCCCACTGTTCCACTGGGGCTTGTCTCAAAATGGTTAATCAAATGATCTTTCTCCTGAATTCAATGGACACTTTCTGCCATATGACTTTTGTATCATGTTAGAAACTGCTGAAAAGTCTCTCTGATGAGCTAGGCTTAGAAAAATTAAACAGTTTTGCCCAACTGTAATGTTCAAAACCATTACCCATGCCCTTCTTGAAATGCTCCCCTCTGGAAGCAATAAGTTGTAGAAAAATTGTATAAACTTCCCCATTATCACAAACCAGGAATTGACTTGACACACTATTTAAAATGTTTTGAATGCTACTATTACTTATTTTGTCAGGTCCTATGCATACAAAATGAATAAATTATTGCCCTCAAAGGCAGTCAGATAGATTAGCAAAAACAAAAAGGTAGAACAATGTACAGTGAGCTTCAATAATTACACATGTTGTATTGTACGGACATTTGGGAGCCCCTAATGCTCTCTGAAGATGGGCCCAAATAGCCTTCTCAGTGGAGTAGAGTAGCCAGAGTTTGCCAGGTAGCTAAAGAAAGAGCATTTCTGACAGAGGTGCAGCATGTCCAAATGGCAGTGGGTACAGATAAGTAACATGGGTTTGATGAATATGTAACTGTTGTCATCAAGTTTTACTCATGATGTCTCACTGCTTTTCCTCCTAACATATTTTGTATGGGAAAAGAATCAAAAGGGTTAGCAGGAATCAGGAACTGTAAGACTGAATGAAAGAATATTCCAGAGTCACATGTCTGAGACTTATTAGGAAGTTGGTAGTGGAACCCATAAGAGCCCAAATCCTATTGTAACTACTTGAAAACTCTTGTGACCCTGGCCAATTCATTATCATGCATGATCCTCAATTACTTTCTCTATATCTATAAAATGACAGTGGTAATATCCAACAATATAGAGTTGTTATAATCATTATAAATAATATAAATAAGGAATTGGATCCAGTACTTGTTAGGTAGTGGTTATTGATCATGGTAGTTATGATTATATTTTACTATGGATTATATTGTAAGATCATCCAAATGAAAAGAACCTTAGATATCTTTCAGCCCAGTCTCCCACTGAATTGCCACTAAATGACGATATTGTCAAGGGAGTTGCCACTAAATGAAGACACTGCCTTCCCTTGGCAATATCTTCATTTAGTGGCAATTCAGCTTGTTTTGATTAAATCAATGATCAAAAATTCAATCCAACCCATTCAATTTTTTGACACCTCTAATTACTGAAACCTTCTCACCTACGTTGATTTGAAATATGTTACTCTATTATCCTAGTTATATTCTCAAAGTCCTCATTCAATAAATTCATTTTTTTCTACGTGATAACAGGGCTGGGGAAGAGGCTGGGATGGTCAGAGTTCAGAAGTTTGGAGGAGCAGCCCGGTAAACTAGGAACCAGACCTCTGAGGAGAGGAACACTGCCAATCTGAGCGAGTATCACAAGAAGTTGGACGGAGGGTAGTGGCGGAGGGAGGTGGGGGGAGGTCCTTCAGAGCTGGGGATTGGAGAGTTTTTAGAAGGGGGCAGTATCTGGTAGGTGTTGGTATGATTAAGGAAGAATGATAAAACCAATTCTGGGAATGTGGAAAGATCTTGGAAACTGGAAAGAACTGCTGCTAGAAATATTTGCTGCTGCAAAGTCTAGTGTTCTTGCTAGGATGACACTGCGAGCCAAATAAACAAACAAACAAACAAACAAACAAACAAACAATATCCTACCCCTCCACCTGCCTTCCAGTCTCCTTCCAGTGTCACTTATTGGATACACCTTCCAAGACTCCAGCTGGTTAAATTTTCAGCTCTTTATTTCTAAAGAGAAATAAAATATGAACAGTTCCAACCCTGCCTTCACAAAGTAGATTATGAAAGAGTGGATTTACATTTGAAAGACAACAGCTTAATAAGTGGCATCAACCATCAGGTCCTAAACCACAAGCATTCCTTCAATGATACCTCTGTGATATAGTTTGAATATTTGTCCTCTCCAAATCTAGTGTGGAAATGTGACCCTCATTTTGAGCCATGGCAGTGAATTCTTCAGGAATGGTTTGGTGCCCTCCTTGTGGTAATGAATGAGGTCTCATTCTATTAGTTACCACAAGATCTGATTGTTAAAAAGAGCCTGGCATATCCTCCTCCTCTTCTTCCTCTCTTGCCATGTGACACACCTACTCCTGCCCCCCATTTATTTATTTATTTATTTATTTATTTATTTATTTATTTATCTATTGAGACAGAGCTCGCTCTGTTGCGCAGGCTGGAATGCAGTGGCCCAATCTTGGCTCACTGCAACCGCTGCCTCCTGGGGTCAAGTGATTCTCCTGTCTCAGCCTTCTGAGTAGCTGGGACACAGGCGCCCACCACCATACCCAGCTAATTATTTATATTTTTAGTAGAGATGGGGTTTCACCATGTTGGCCAGGATGGTCTCAGTCTCTTGACTTCGTGATCCGCCCACCTCGGCCTCCCAAAGTGCTGGGATTACAGAAGTGAGCCACCGCGCCTGGCCCCCCCTTTTTTTATGCCATGATTGTAAGCTGAGGCCCTTGCCAGAAGCAGATACTGGCACAATGCTTCTTGAATATCCTGTAGATATTCAGAACTGTAACCTAAATAAGCCTTTTTTCTTTATATATTACTCAGCCTCAGGTATTCCTCTATATCTTTATAAAATGGACTGAGACATTCTTAGAATGGTTTCTATTTTCCCCACCATTGGTTGATAACCTTTATTATACTATAGTCAGCCAGTGTCCCGCACAGGACAGAAATCTCAAAATTTTGATCAGGTCAAGTGTGATCATTAACTTTATGAGTCAGCTTGGCTGGGCCACAGAGTGCCCAGATACTTGGTCAAACATTATTTGGAGTGTGACTGTGAGGATGTTTTAAAATGTGGTTGATATTTGAATCGGTAGGTTAAAGCAGATTGTCCTCCATATTATGGGGGAGTTTTATCCAATCAGCTGAAGTCCCAAATAGAAAGAAAGGACAGCCATCTTCCAATTAAGAGAGAATTCTCCTACTTGATGACTTCTGAACTGAGACACCAGCTCTTTCTGATTGTAAAGCAGCCTGCCTGCTTTCAGATTCAAACTGGAGCATAGGCTCTTTTGGACTTACCTCTGTCTCTGATTAGAGACATAAACAAATCTCTTAGGTAATAAATCCCTTTATATATAAAACAGGATACGTATGTATCTTTTAGTAGAATATATCCTATTGGT